CACTCTGCGAGGCTGCAGCTCGACCTGGGGCTGAGCGCTCCGCGGTGCCGCCCGGCCGCTGTCAGTGGGGTTCGCTGCGGTGGTTCCCGTAATTAGGTCGCAGATAGTTTGGGGACCGAGTTGAAAATAAGCTAAGTAACAACGCATTACAAGTTAGTGGCAAGCGCACGTGCAGCCCCATTTCCTCAGCTGTTGGTGGCGCCGCGCAGTGAGAGTTGATGTTGGGCTTCAGCAAACCGGTGTTACGAGCACAGGCTCGTTAAATGTTCAGGTAGTGCTCAACGCCCAAGGTCCCTTCGGGAACGAACATTTATACCTTTGTCTTGCATTTTTGAGACCGGGTTTCACTACGTATACGTGGCCCAGGCTGACTATGAACTCATGATTTATGATTCTCCTGCGTCTCCCGAGTGCTGGGAACACTGGCAGCAAATAGAGCTGTCACAACACCCAGATGTTTTTGTATATTTCGGAGAGATTTTCAGGGGACAGCTGGGGGGGGTGTGTGCGCCCTGAACGGAAGGTTGACTGGAGGCGCTGTTACCCGTCTTTTGTTGAGAGAAGGGTTCAGACGTGTGAACACTGCGTTTCTTGGTGCCCCAGTCTTTTGTTTCTTTTACTTTTTTTTTGTACTGGGGATTGAACTCAGGTCCTTGTGCGTTCGAGGCAGGCGCCAGAAGCACTGAGCTAAATCCCTGGCCTTGTCTTACTTTTTTAGCCCTGTTTCTACATTGTGAGCAGGTGTTACTGTTTCACTTTTTTTTTTTTTGTAAATATACGGGGATCAAACTCAGGTCCTTGCGCTTGCAAGGCAGGCGGCAGAACCACTGAGCTAAATCCCTCGCCCACTTTTTCACTTTTATAGAGAAGGAGACCATCAGGCCTCTGCATAGGGAATTGAGTTCAGGCTCCTGTTCAATCCAGTTTTGGGCTGGTGAAGTTGATTTTTTCCTCTTTACAAAGCTTCATCCATTATTTCCACAGCATTGCCAGTTAATTTGCAGTAATAAACCTAAGTAACGATTGTTTGCCAGAGCTGTATCCCAGAAGTGTGTCATCTGTGTTTTTATGTCTTAATACATGAAATGCTGGACTATCTCTGGCAGATGGCTCAAGTTCTGTACTCTGACACTGCTGAGCTGGCATTGGGAAATGTAATTAAGGCTACTACTCTTCACTGACTTTAAGAAAGAGAGATGATCTTGGATTACCGGAGTGGAACTAGTAATCACAGAAGGCCCAAAAGCGAGGGAGGAGATTCAGAGGTTCCAGGTATCTGTGGTGGCTGCTTTGAAGAGAAGGGGGCTGTGAGAGGGCTGTGAGCTGCCAAGAAACTGAGCATGAGGAGGCAGGCGCAACCTGACTTCAGCCACGTGGATTGAGCTGTGTCAACAGTAAGGCAGAACTTGGGCTGCAGCCCTGCCTACACTGGCCCTCACTTCTGACACACGGGAACTGTGAGGTCAGCACTGGGTGCATTTCTGAGGCCCCCAGTTTGTATTAAGTTGTGGCAGTGAGAGAGCCAGAGTACAACAGTACAGTGAGTAGGTGCTGTGCTGAGGGATTTTCCCCCCTATGTCCTGATATAATAAAATTCCACTTAGGGTCTCTTGTGTCTTAGCACCTAGTTTGTCCTCAGCGTATTTAAGGGAGTGTGAACCGGTGTAGAGGTAAACACAGCAGAAACCCTCTGTGGAGTGGAGTAAAGGTAGATTTGGATTTGTGTCCCAGCACACTTGACTGCTTGGGGATGGAGAATTGCGAGTTCAGGTATGGCTCTGTTCAGGCTCCTGATTTTACAGGAAATTAATCTGCAAAAAGATTTGCTTCTGTTCATAGAGTAGGAAAAAAGGAGAGGCGGGAAAAGAACCAAGTGTTTTAAATTGCTGCCTTCATACCATCCAGCCTTTCCTGGACTGAGAGACAGGCCTAGTTAGTATCCTAGGGCTGCCACCAGTGGGGCAGCTCAGCTCAACTCAGCAGAAGTTTATTCTCTCCCACTTTATTTATTTTTTTGGTACCTGGAATTGAACTTGGGACCTTGCACTTGCAAGAAACACAGCGGAACCTCTGAGCTAAATTCCCAGCCCAGTTCTCTCCCACTGTAGAAGTCTCAAATCCAGGTAGACAAGGCAGTGCTCCCTGGGGAGGCTTGTGGGGGGGCTGCTGCCTTCCCCCCACTGGTTGGGGGCAGTCCTTGTCCTTGGTGCTCCTTAGCTTGTCCCCTGTCACTCTGATCTCTCCTCTACCCTCCCACAGCCATCATCCCTGTCTGTATTAGTGTCCATATTTCCCATTTATGAGGACTCCGGTTGGTAGGTGGGGTGAGAGAGCTCTGTAATCCCAGCAACTTGGGAGGCTTGTGAAATTGAGGTCAGCTCGGGCAACAGAGTAAACCCCATGTCAGAAAGCAACAGAAAGGTATCAGTCTTTGACTTAGAGCCCACCTGGTCAGTGTGACCTTTTTTTTTTTTAAACTGGAGGTTGAACCCAGGGCCTTGTTCTTGCTGAGCAAGTGCTTTGCTATGGAGCTATATTCTCAGTGCTTTTCACTTTGAGACAGGGTCTCACTATTTTTGATACTTTTGCCACAGCATCCTGAGTGGCTAGGATTACGGGGCTGTGCCACTGCACCTGGCTTCTTCACTTTATTTCTTGAGACAGGGTCTCATTAGATAGTTCATGCTGGCCACCTGAGTGCTGGGATTACATGCGTGCACCACCATGCCCAGCTTCTTCACTTTAATTGTTACATCTATGAATACCCAATTTCCAAATCACATTAACAGATTTTGGAGGACTTAAATTTAGGGGGGTGCTATCTACTCAGTGTGGTATCTAATAGGAGCCCAGAGCCTGCATGTTCCAAACTGGCTCCTTAGGTGTTTGGGCCAAAGACCTTGACATGTTCCACCATCCTCCCTCCATACTCCACCCGAGCACAGCATCCACTTCCCCAGGCTGGTCCTGGCCACTCACACCCTGGCCTGGATTCCCAACTCCTGTTCTGCCTGGTCCTTTTCCCTTACACTTTGTCCTGTTTTCAGCACAGCAGACAAACCCTGTCAAGGTTTAAGTTGTGCACACATGCGGCCCTGGGGATCTGGAGACTGGCAGGAGGTTGCCAGTTTGAGGGCAGCCTGAGAACCGAAGAGATGTTGTCTGAAATGACACTGCTCTGCAGCACGGCGGGGAACCCTGAGGGTCAGTAGCGCTCCTTTTCTTTGCTCTGCCCGCCTTCCCCGCCTCCACCCTTTCTGACTCCTCCCCACCCCCGGTTTATCCCCAGAATTGGCACCCAGCTCCCTGGATAGCTTCCCCCACTTCAGGGAGAAGCCAGCCCTGCCTGGCCTTCCCTGCCAGTTCCTCTTTAGTGTTTAAAGTGTTTTTTATGTAAGTTTATAAAAGATTGCTTTTCAGATTAAATAATAAATGAACATCTGTGTTACTCAGCTTTCTATTATTATGACAAGATACTTCAAATTATAAAGGGTAATGGGGGCCGGGGATTGAACTCAGGGGCACAGTTCCTGCCTCGCGAGCACAAGGTCCCGAGTTCAATCCCTGGTACCACAAAAAGCGCGGTGGTGGTTGGTTTGTTTCAGTTCACAGCTTTGGAGGTTTCTGTTCATGGTGGGGAAGAATCATTGCTTTTGGGCCTGTGGCAAGGAATCTATCATGTTAGGGGCAAGCAGCAGAACACAGCTGTTCACCTCATGGCCAGGACATGAAAGAGAGCAAAAGGAGGGGCTGGGGTCCCAGCGTCTTCTTTTTGTTTTTGTTTTTGGTACCAGGGATTGAACTCAGGTCCTTGTGCTTGCGAGGCAGGCGGCAGAACCACTGAGCTAAATCCCTGGCTCCCCAGTGTCTTCTGAAGGACATGCCCTTGGGCCCCAGAAGGGCTGCCTGGCCCTCTGTCCATTCTCTGTGTCCTGGCTGAGCCTTGAGCCCCTGTTAGGATGTGTACTGCCCTGAAATGACTGGGGCACCTGCGCGTGGACTGGAACCTTCAGAACTGAGCCAGATTAAATGGACCATCTCCGGTGTTTGTCACAGTAACAGAAAGCTGGCTAGCACAGTCTTCATGGCTCCTGGCTGTGACCATGAGTGGTGACGTCAAATCTTTGTGCTGCTTCCCCCCACCAGCAGAAGTACACTTGTTTTCGCTTTCACAGTATCTTCTCTTCATGTCTTTTGCTAATTTTATATAGGGTTGTTTGACTGTTGTAGACGGGTTGGAGCTCTGTCGCTAATCTGTGTGGGTGACCTTGTGTTCGTTACTGTATCCCTGCTTGTGCTTAGTCTTTTCAGCCTTTGTGGTGTCTTCTTTCCCAGCCACTGTAAGGAAAGCAGCTCCCCATGAGTTCCCTCCCACACAGTGAGTTGACATAGCGGACAAGGCCCCCAGGACGTGTGCATCTGGAGGACCGTCCCTGCAGTCCTGGCAGTGGGTGTAGCTGCTCCTCAGAGGTTTGCCCTGCCCTGGGTTTCCCTCTGTCCCTGTCTCCTTCCTGTGCCCCTGCCCAGGCAGTGACCAATCCGCCTCTGCTCACTTCCGGCTGGGTGTCCAAGTCTCCCTCTCTCTTTGTCCCCTTCCCAGGAGGTGACTGATTCATCTTCACTTCCTGTGGAGTCTAGTAGGTTTTTGTCAGACTTCTTCAGCTCAGCCTGCTTGTGTTGGACTTCAGTTGTGCTGTTTCCTGTTACCCCTAGTGCCCGCCCACAGATAGGGAGTAACTGGAATAAGTAAGAACGAGGTAGGACCGTTGGGACAGTGCTCTGTCATCAAGGTTAGGTGACTGGGATCTGCCTCCCCTCAGCTGCCGTGGGGGTGCAGGCATGTGGCCTGCACGTGCTGGGCAGAGAGATGATGATGATTCACATTGGGGCAGGAGAGAGCAGGGCGGCATGAGATTTCCTTACAGTTCTTGGAACAGCCATTGGACACTTTGGTATTCCTCCTGGAATTTTCTCTCTCTCTCTCTCTCTCTCTCTCTCTCTCTCTCTCTCTCTCTCTCTCTCTCGTACGGATTGAACTTGGGTCCTTGCACTTGTGAGGCATGTGGCACCACCTCTGAGGTAAATCCCCAGCCCTGGAATTTTCTTATTTACTTTGTACTGGAGACTTAATTTGGGCCTTCTACACTGAGCTACATCTCCAGTCCCTTTAAATTTGTTTTGTTTTGTTTTGTTTGAGATAGGGTCTTGCTAAGTTGCCCTTACCCGGCTTGAACTTCGGTCCTTCTTCCTCAACCTTCCAGACTACTGGGATCTCAGGCAGCACCACAGCTTCCATTAACGTTTTCACACCTTAGTTGGCAAGGAGCTGAAACCCTGGGAAGCCAAACCTCAGGTAAGGGTGGCCTGCTGCATTCTCCTTTTGTTTCGGAGTAACAATCCGTTGTGTGGTAGCCTACCCTTGTCTGTGTGTTTGGGCTCTTTCTGTTCTTGGCCCTCACAGACCGACCTGCACTGTGCATTGTGTGTCTTTCTGTGGAGCTGCTTTCGTTTCTCTTGCATAAATATCTGGGTCGCTGGAAGTGAAGAGAGACTTCCCAAGCATCTGTCTCTTTCCATTCTCACCAGTACTGCGCAGAGTTCAGTTGCTCTGCCTCCCCATGGTGCGTAGGACAGTTGGGCTTTGAGTATTCAGTCATTCTGTTGGGTGTGGATTCCTATCTTGCTGTGGGCTTTTCTGGTTGTTTTGTTTTTGTGGTACTGGGCCTTGAGCCTAGGGTCTCTGCACTGAGCTACATCCCCAGCCCTTTTTTACACTTGTTATTAGCCAAAAGCCGATTTTTAGCAGAGAAGTGATTCCCCAGCCCTTTTTACATTTTTGAGATAAGGTTTGCTGAATTGCCATTGCTGCACTCAAACTTGTGACCCTCCTGCCTTGGCCACCACACTGCCCTTTGTTTTGTTTTGTTTATGTAGCCTAGGCTGGCCTGAAACTCTCAGTGACCCCTCGCCCTCAGCCTTGGGTTCCAGGGTCACATTGTGCCATCATGTGCGGCTTCACACCCTGCTCTTACTCCGGTTTCTGTTGGATTTCCTTGGTGACTGATTCTTTGCCATTTATGTGGGTTCTGATTTTCATTGATGATATCTTTTTTTTTAACTTTTCATTAAGTTTATTGGTACATTTTAGGTATACAATACAATTGCATTCATCATTAGGATCTTGTACTTTTACATGATGTATCTTGGTTCTTATTTTTCCCCACTTCCCTGCCCTCCCTTCACCCCCTTCCCTATTTACAAAGACCTTGTTTCCATTTTTTCCTTTTCTCATACTTTTTCCTTCCCTTCTTTCCTTTCCCCTACCACCTCTATATTCCCTATGCCTTTAGACCTTTTCTTCCTATTCTTTTTTTGGGGGATACTGGGGAACGAACTCAGGACATACTTACCAGGCAGTCTGTGGCACCACTGAGCTGAATCCCTAGCCTTTTCCCATTTTACATTATCAATTATACATTTTGTTTTGTTTTGCTTTTTTGGTACCGGGGATCAAACTCAGGTCCTTGTGCTTGCAAGGCAGGCGGCGGAACCGCTGAGCTAAATCCCTGGCCCAATCAATTGTACATTTTGATCCTTATTTACACTTTTAGTTCCTCACAAGGAAAACTTCGGTATTTACATACGTCCTATTTATTTCACTTAAGAGTATGGCTTCAGTGTGCATCCATTTAGCTATAAATGACTAGTTTCTTGTTCTTTATGGCTGAGTAGTACTCCATTTTTTATATACATATAAAAAGACATCTTTATCCAGTCTCCAGTTGATGGGCAGTTGGGCTGTTTCCAAGCTTTAGCCATCACAAACTGTGCCACTCTGAACATGGGTGAATATATCTCTGTGGTATGATTCTTTTAATTCTTTTGGAAAGATACAAGAATAGGTATAGCTGGGTCAAATGGGGCTTCTAGTTGTTTGAGGAATCTCCATCTTGATTTCCACAGTGGTTGCACTGATGAAATATCTTTAAGTCTTCTGCTCATTTTTAAATTGTGTTGTTCCTGAGTTGTAGCATTTCCTTTTGTCATGTGCATAAACTTTTTTGTTGGAGGTTTGTCCTGTAAGTAGCCCTCCAACTTCCCTTAGCCAGAGACTCCCCTCTTGTTTTTCAGGCAGGCATGGTCCCACTGAGCCACATCCTGGCCCCCTCTCTTGTTTTCATTATGGTGTTCAGCTGACATTTTTAAGTGTGTGTTACAATTTTGTTAATTGTTCCTCACTGTTGTATAACAGATTTCTAGGCCTTTTCCATCTCAGATGACTGAAACTATGCCTGTCCTGAGGCTTGCCTTCTAATTTGCATAATTTTGCCATTTAAAATGCAGACTTTACAACAAAATTTCAATGAAGTCCAACATATTCAATTTAAAGTATTTCTTGGTTCTGTCTTATATTTAAGAAATCATTGCTAAATAGAAAGTTACTAAGGTTTTCTCTTATGATTTCTTCTAGGAGTTTTATAGTTTTAGCCCTCACATTTAGATCTGTGATCCTTCTCTTATAAAGTTTTATATACTCCAAGGAGATCAAGACCAAGGCTTATTTGCACATTATTTGCAAATGCTTTGCTTCTGTGTTACTTTTAGGCCACCAGTCTACCCTGGCCCAGTCTTTCCTCGAGGACACCAAAGTGACCTCATTCAAAGAGCCTGATTGCACAGTTTGATCTGCTTTTGCATTTGACCTGGAGGTCATTCTGCACAAGCCAGTAGGCATGGTTACAGCTAGCTATAGAGTGGACTCCAGGATCCACTCGGTGCTCTTTGGGTAGGCATTGGGGCTTATCCCAGGGCCTCCCCCACTTTCCTGTTACAAATAGACCTGAAATGAATGGGCTATGTGTGCGCCTTTTCCTCTTTCTGCTGGGTGCATTGCTAGAAATGGAACTGCCGGGTCAAGTTTAAGTTCATCTTGTGTGGTGGGTATTTTTTTTTTTTTTTTGTACCAGAGATCGAACTCGGGTCCTTGGCAGGTGGCGGAACCACTGAGCTAAATCCCCGGCTGTAGTGGGTATTTTTAAAGCCACTGTTTTAAGAAAAAATAATTTTTAAACAAATTCACATTCTCAAGGAATTAGTGACAAGGAATAAAATTTGTGATATAGGTAAGATTTACTTCTCTTTTGGAACTTGTTTTTATCAGTAAGCATGAAACCACGTGTGCATGTGCATGTGCGTGCGTGTGC